ATCAAGTTCTACAGCTTCTTTTTCCTTGAAGACAGGTCCAAACTCATGACCTCACAACTGAATTACTCCACTAGCATCCTTATTGGTTTTCCTCTGTCTTCCAGTTTCTCCCAGTGTTAGTACACATTATTAAGAAAACCAGAGTGTAAGAGCTATGGGGGGCAGGCACTATGGTTGTTTTACTCACCATTCTGTTCCTAGAACCTAGCATATTATCACATTCTCAAAAACCTTCCCCACAGGCTGTTTTTCTCTTTAATCCTCTGCTTAAGTGGTCCACCTCATATCTGGCAACTTAAACATAAATTCGTGGCTGCCATTCCAATTATCCAACAATTTCCTCAGTCACTCACTACTGTTCATCACAGCTCTTAAATCCCACCTAAGCCCCACTAGTAGTTGGGTATAAAGGCATGCATCACCACACCTGGCTAATTATTTTGGTATTTTTAGTAGTGATGGGGTTTTGCCATGTTTCCCAGGCTGATCTCAAACTCCTGGGCTCAAGAGATTTCCCTGCCTTGGCCTCCCAAAGCTGGGACCACAGACATGAGCCACCATGCCTGGCCTTGGCCTACAATTATTATTATTTTTTAAATCTTTGGTCAAGACTATTTGGCTTATCATCACCTATATGAGCCTTGGTAGTACCCATCTTGGCTCCTGTGGGTCCACTTTCTTGAAACACCCTTCCTAGTTAATTCCTCTAAAACCTATGTCTGCTAAAGTGACTAGTTGTATCCCACACTGATGGTATGCCTGCTTGACATTCCTAGCCATTTATAAGGAGACTGTTCTCTGTTTTACATGTTTATATTCAAGTTACATTTTTGTTATGTAGTTGCCTTGCTGCAATGGTAATCACTCTATGTAATCTCCTTCACGTGCCATAATACACTATACAAATACTGAGAGTACTAAATGAGAAGGTAGTGTGAAAGTGGTGTATATATCGTTAGCAACAACAGGTCATGTGGAAGATGGTTATAAATACAGATAAGGAAGATTTCTTTTTTTTTTTTTTATAAGATCATAAAGTCAGGTAAGTTAAGTGGGATTTCATAGGCCAAATAAAATTTTTGTAGATCTACCAAATTTGAAGAGAACTTATTTGCAATATAATACTTTCTGATTGCCTATATTGTCTTCTGATAATGAGTTTTAATTTTATATGAACACTGGAGAATCTGCAGCCCATTCCCAGTTCAGACACATTTTTGAAGAAATACAAACATTGGATGGGAACACATAAACATTTCAGTGCAAGCTTTTAGAAAAATCTTAGTTTGCAAATTCATAATAATAATAGCTGGGCTAGGTACAGTGGCTCATGGCTGTAATTCCAGCATTTTGGGAGGCCGAGGTGGGAGGATTACTTGAGGTCAGGAGTTCAAGACCAGCCTGGCTAACATGGTGAAACCCCGTATCTACTAAAAATACAAAAATGAGCTGGGTGTGGTGGCAGGTGCCTGTAATTCCAGCTACTTGGGAGGCTGAGGCAGGAGAATTGCTCGAACTCAGGAGGGGAAGGTTACAGTGAGCCAAGATCATACCACTGTACTCCAGCCTGGGCAACAGAGCTAGACTCCATCTCAAAAAAAAAAATTGATAATAACAGCTAACCTTTATGGAGAGTACGTGCTACTCTTGCTACCAAGCACTCTCTTAAGTACTTTTTATGCATCACATCATTTAATTCCCATAAGTCCCTTAGGAGATACATACGGTTATTATTTGGGCTACCATACTGCACAAAACCAGAAGGTACCATTCACACTATAGCCCAGGTTAATGGCAACTCTCTGGAACTATGTAATATGGTAGCTCACATTATTACCTTCAATTTACTCACAGAGAAAGGGAGGCAGAGTACAAGTTTAAATAACATGTTCAAAGTCAAATGGCTAGTTAGTGGCGTACCAGGGTTTTGAATCCAGGCAATCTGGTTCAGGAGCTCACACAGTGAACCACTATACCATATCTATTTCTAGGATAGGGAAAATACACCTTGGTGGTCTCTTCCAGAAACAGGAACTGGGCTAGGGGCCAATGTATTTTAGAAAGGAATCACATCTTACTACATTTAGAATTTTAAAAAACTTCATCAAACATAATGAAATGCTGCAATAAAACATTTCAAAGAGACTCTATTAATGATTTAAAATTACTGTGCTAGATAAGCCAGTCAGAAAGAGACTAATACTGTGTGATTCCACTTATATGAGGTGTTGTAGTAAAATTCAGATACAAAAAGTGAAAAAGTGATTGCTAGAGTCTAGGAGAGGGAAAAATGGGAAAGTTTGTTGACTAGGCACAGAACTTCACCGTTGCAAAATGGAAAAATAGAAAAAAGGGAGATTGGTTGCACAAGAGTGAATGAACTTAATACTACTGAACTGTATACTTGAAAACGGTTAGGATGGTGAATTTTATGTTACATATATTTTACTATTAAAAAAATGCACTGCACTGAAAATGTATTTAAATTATATTGTTCAGTGCTAAAGGCAAGTTGCAAAGGAGAACATGTAACAAACATTTCTTTTTAAAACATAAAATAGGCCGGGTGCAGGGGCTCACGCCTATAATCCCAGCACTTTGGAAGGCTAAGGCAGCGGTCACCTGAGGTCAGGAGTTTGAGACCAGCCTGGCCAACATGGTGAAACCCTGTCTCTACTAAAAATACCAAAAATTAGCTGGGTGTAGTGGTGGGCACCTGAGTAGTCCCAGCTACTCAGGAGGCTGAGACAGGGGTATCGTTTGAACCTGGGAGGCGGAGGTTGCAGTGAGCCAGAAAAACACACCGAAAAACCTATAAAATATGTTATTAGGTTGGTGCAAAAGCAATTGCTATTACTTTAAATGGCAAAAACCACAGTTGCTTTTACACCACTCAAGTAGTATATGCATAGAAAAAAATCTGGAGTTTTACATACCAAATTCATAATAGTGGTTATATTTGAAAAGTAGGATTATGAGAACTTTAATTTTAGATAATATTTCTATAATACTTGAATTTAAAAATAATTCATGTATTACTTTTTTAGGCAAAAAACAGGATAAAGTCCTTTTAAAGGCCTTACTCTCCATTATCAGCACATTTTCAGATGCTCTTATCACAATGAAAATGATTTTTTTTTTTTTGTTACGGAGTCTCACTCTGTTGCCAGGCTGAAGTGCAGTGCTTCGATCTCAGCTCCCGGCTGCAACCACCACCCCCTGGGTTCAAGCAATTCTCCTGCCTCAGCCTCCCGAGTAGCTGGGACTACAGGGGGGTACCACAACGCCCAGCTAGTTTTTGTATTTTTAGTAGAGATGGGGATTCACCATGTTGGCCAGGATGGTCTTTATCTCTTGACCTCATGACCTGCCTGCCTTGGCCAAGAACCACTTGAAAAGGTATTCAACGTTGACATTTTTTGAACAATCCAGGTCAGTTGTTACGTAGAATTTAAATTTTATTTGCTATGAATTGAAAGCTATTCTTAATTTAGAAGACAAAGAATCTTCTAATATATATGATAAAGAATACTTTCTATTCTTTTGGAGGGATACAAAAACACTGCCCATTTTGCTGAAAAGATAAGTAAAATAATCATTATGATTAAAAAAGTACACCTGATCGCCACTTTGAGCTTGTTCATGGAATTTGAAATGTGAATAGGAAGAAATAAGTATCAATCTCTAATAGCCTGCTTAGCATCTGCTGCTTTTTTTTTTTTTTTTTTTATATAAGAATGTTTCTATGCCTACTCAGCCATATTTACTGGAAAGATATCAGTACTTTTTGTTTCAATAGGGATGCTGAGCTTCTATTATGCAAACAATTACGGCCTTTATGAATCTTTTTGAAGCTTTATCAATGTGCTGTTATCCTTAATTGGTAACCATTTTATTTTGTTAACTTCTATTTAAAACATCAATAAAAATAGTTGAATTTAAAAGCCAGTTACACAGTTTCTATTTGGGTAGCCATGTGATCTGTTAACTCTGTGGCTCAGAGTAAACTACAGGACTTCCTGTCTGTGGAAATAATGTGAAGATACTGGTATCTGCCTCTTGCTTAAGAAATACTGAAAAATGAAGCTGGCATATGTGAAACTTCTTGTATTCTTCTGAAGGACCTTAGAAATAGCATCATTAGGTTGTTTATGTAAATGTTAAATTAGGAGACCAAACAACTGTCACAGTCTAGAGAGGCCAGGAAGACATGACAGCTAAATGCAATGTGGTACTGTGACTGGATCTGGCAGCAGAAAGAAAACACCAGTGGGAAAACTGGTGGAGTTTAGTTAATAGTCACGAACCACTGTCATTTTCTGAGTTTTGATAATTCTACTGTGGTAATATATTAACAATGTGCCAGGCGCGGTGGCTCACGCCTGTAATCCCAGCACTTTCGGAGGCCAAGGTGGGCAGATCAGGAGGTCAGGAGTTTAAGACCCCCCTGACCAACATGGTGAAACCCCGTGTCTACTAAAAAAAAAACAAAAAAAAAAATTAGCCAGGTGTGGTGGCCTGCACCTGTAGTCCCAGCGACTCAGGAGGCTGAGGCAGGAGAACTGCTTGAACCCAGGAGGCAGAGGTTGCAGTGAGCCGAGATTGTACCACTGCACTCCAGCCTAGGCAATTTATTTAATAAATTAATAAATAAAACAAATATATATATATACACACACACAATGTAGGAAATTGGGTGGGAACTCTCTTTAATACCTTTACAATTTCCGTATGCATCTAAAATTCTTCCTAAATAAAAGGCTTATTTAAGAAAATAGGCAGCCATTTGCTTGACCCTTGTTTTTTTTTTAGAAACAGTGTTTCACCATGTTGGTCAGGCTGGTCTTGAACTCCTGACGTCAGGTGATCCACCTGTCTCAGCTTCCCAACGTGCTGGGATTACAGGTGTGAGCCACTGCACCTGGTCCTGCTTGACCCATTTTAAAAATAACGATATAGAATGTCTAGTAATGAATTACATAGTTTTACTTAGTACTTACCCTGGATGTTGTAGCCTATTACACTTAGTGATGCAAAGATAGTAGCCAAGTAATCCAAAAATAACCAAAAATACTCCAGCAGCAATTAATCCAGTCAGAAGGCCCATAACATCAATTTTCTCTCTGTTGCCATCTTGAAATAAATCATTAAAATAACATAAATATAACAACTACATAGCATCACCTATGATTTCAACAAATTTAATCCTGGGTCTAAACACATTATACAGCATCTAATCATTGATGTTGACTTCTTTCAAGTCTTTGTACTAGAGAGTCTACCTAAAAAAATTTAAATGACACTTCTAAAAGTGGTAGTTACGGTTATTCTTTTATTTATTTAAAATAGGTCGTATTAAATGTAATATTCAGCTTTAAGTGGGATAAACATATTTGCTCCTCAACTAGACATACTTTGGTATTAATCACTAAGATTATATTTATTAAGCAACTCAGGGTAGCTATGCGATATAACCTGCCATGGCGGCTGGGGGGGGGTCCTACAGAAGAGGAATGAAAGAATAGCTGGTGAAAAATACACCCAACTAAAATGCAGCTAGAGATGATCAATACAGATTAGATAAAGGATCTCCCCTCTCTACAAGTTACTTAATTCGATCCAACAATCTTATCTGGCAAAATGTTCCATCTACCTTTAATGGTTAAAAAAGAAAACAGGTTAACATAGTTTACATCTTGAAATGAATAGAATCTACTTTTATTCTATGCAAGTCTTGACATAGCTGAGCTGTTTAAAACAGGTTTAAGCCCATTATCTCATTTCCCTAGTATCTCACCAAACTTGATTTTCGGTGTATAAATAGATGAATCTGTCCTTTTCTGTCTGAGATAGCCCAGTGTATAGTTGAGAAATCTCCTTGTATTTATAAGATTTGTATGTTGAGTAACAGCCAAACTCAAAACAATAAAACTAAAATGTATTACAATAGAGAGACGGCGAGAAAAGCATTAAATTTGATCAATTATTGTTTTACCTGATTTTGTGGTTGGTCCTTTTGCTGAATATTCCTGCCAAAATGCGTTCTAAAAAAAAGGTAAAATTCCCAGGTTTATTCAATATCTTTATTATCATTATTTCATTTGGTCCCAATGACCTAGACTAGGGGTAGTAAACTCTTGGCAGGTATCATAAGTTGGAGACCAGTTCATTCAAGCTGAAGGGTGTGACTCACTCTAATTAAAGCACTACCACCCCTAACTGCCTCTGCTGTTTGTCTATCTAATTGTCAAGGGATTACTGCCAGTTCCAGTTCTTTACTACTGTGCCTGCTATTTTCCCTTCACCTGACTGGAGCTCCCACTAAGGCACTGCATTATTGGGAAATTATTGCATTAGAGAGTAGGTGAAAGTACCAAAGTTAGAAGTTGAGGCTGTGGACTCACTACCATGTTTGAACAGGAGACTGAATTTTTCAGTGGGAGATAAGCCCTCATTTTGTCTCAGGACTTTTTTTTTTTTTTTTTTTTTTTTTTTTAAGACAGGATTGCTCTGTAGCCCAAGCCAGAGTGCAGTGGTGTGATCATGACTCACTGCAGCTTTGACTTTCTAGGCTCAAGCAATCCTCCAACATCTGCCTCCTAAGTAGCTGGAACTATAAGCACATGCCACCACTCCCAGGTAATTTTTTCTTTTTTGTAGAGACGGAGATTTCACCATAAAGCCCAGGCTGATTTTGATTTCCTGGGCCCAAGCAATCCTCCCACCTCTGCACCCCAAAGTGCTGGGATTACAAGTATGAGCCACTGTGCCCTTCTGGAAGATCTTATTGAAAAGTATTTATTGATTTGGGAAGACATTCTTGAGACAATTTTAAGTTCAGTGCTACCCGAGAGAATAGAAATGAATTTTAAGGAACTATGATAAAATTAGAAAAGGTTTGTGAAAAACAGAATAAAATTCCAACAGGCACAACTACACAGTATATGCTTCGTTTTTCTCCTTAATAGACACAGCAAATACTTGCAGGGAATGGGAGGGTGGGCACAATGATATAAAAGTCAACAACTAGGTTCCATTACCACCTGCATTTGAAGGATACCTAAGGAGGTTCTTATTGACCAAAAAGTAAAATAGGACTCTTAGGAAAGGGAAAAAGGAGCTAGCATTATGAAATCTACAAAGGTAAAGAATTTAGGGCTGGGTGCTGCAGCTCATGTCTGTAATCCTAGCACTTTGTCAGGCTGAGGCGGGTGGATTGCCTGAACTCAGGTGTTTGAGACCAGCTTGGGCAACATGGTGAAACCCCGTCTCTACTAAAATACAAAAAATTATCCCGGCATGGCAGCATGCACCTGTAGTCCTAGCTACTTGGGAGGCTGAGGCAGGAGAATTGCTTGAACCCGGGAGGTGGAGGTTGTAGTGGGCAGAGATTGTGCCACCGTACTCCAGCCTGGGCAGCAGAGTAGACTCTGTCTCCAAAAAAAAAAAAAAAAAAAAGATAATTTGGGTTACTTAATGTTTTTGAAGACTGTGACAGATTATCACAGGCACAATGCCATCTGTTTTGTACCTTGTCAAGATTAACAGAACTTGATTATATTCTAAGAAAGAACTTTTAAAAATGTTTCCCTTAAATTACACTGATAGACCAAACAATACATTTCCAAATACAAGGGCTATAAGTTTTGTATCCTCAGTGCCAAGGAGAACACCTGGCACATATCAGACTGTCAGTAAATACTTGAAATATAAATATGGGTAATCAAGTAGGTAAGGTCACCGATAGGACAAATTACTTAGTCATAAATGATTGAAGCCTGAGTTAGAGCACTAACCACAAAATCTTGGAGTTAAATTCACTCTGCCCCATGATGAATTTTAAATATAATAAACATTAAACACACAAAATCACAACAGTCAATAATTTACTAATTACTATAAACCCCATTAATTGGGTGTAGAGCCAAGTCTAAACAGGTTAATTACCATTTTAACGAAGTAGAAAGAGATATCAGGTACATAACCCTGATTTTGTTTAAAGCGTAAAATCTCTAATAACTGAAAGTGCCACTTTCTTAAGTACAATTGAATAATTCCAGATAATTAACATAATCAACCACATTACCGTTTTATCTTCATCCACAAAAATCTCTCTGGCTTCCTCATAATTGCAAAGTTCTTCAGTGCACTCTCTTTCTAGGTCACCAGGAGTGAAGAGCTCCAAATCAAATCTATTATACAGGAGGCGTCTATGTATGAAAAAGTTTGCTTCTTCTTTTGATGTAAACACTAATAAAGTAATGAAAAAGACTTAAACATTGATCAAAACTATTCAAAAAATTCCTGTTTTAATTGTGGAAAAAGTGAATAGTCCTCTTGATGTGGTTAAATTATACAAAACTTTTTTGTAAAGATTTAAAATCTAACCAAAAAAAAGAAAAAGCATCAGTGAAGATAATTTCCTATAAATATGAAATATAAAATTAGCATAATTCTGCTGGAGTTATGTCCAAAGTTACTAGTATAAATAACAATTATTTAAATATCTTTTTCTCTCCAGATAGTTATTTTCCCAATAATTGACAGGTCAGACTACTCTGTTTCTAAAGAATTTGTTCTCTATTATCTTGACTGAGAAAAATTAGTGGGGCATTATGGACAGCATATTGAACTGAGAGTTAAAAGACAGATTTTTGGTTTTGATTTAGCTTAAGCTATCAGTTGTATATTCTAAGATAAGTCACTTACATTCTTTGGGCTGCCATTTCCTCATTTGTAAAACCAGGAATTAAATTAAATAATCACTAAGATCTCTTTAAGTTCTTAATTTTGTTGTTGTTGTTTTTTGAGATGGAGTCTCACTCTGTCACCCAGGCTGAAATGCAATGGCACAGTCTCAGCTCCACCTCCCAAATTCAAGTGATTCTCCTGCCTTAGCCTCCCAAGTAGCTGGGACTACAGGCATGTGCCACCACACCTGGCTAATTTTTGTATTTTTAGTAGAGACGGGGTTTCACTGTTTTGGTCATGCTGGTCTCGAACTCCTGACTTTGTGATCCACTCGCCTTGTCTTCCCAAAGTGCTGGGATTACAGGCATGAACCACTACATCTGGCCGAGTTCTTAAATTACAAATTAATGCTTATACATTAGAGTTGCTGTATTCAAGTTTATGCTAAAAGTTATAAAATTCTAACCTTCTAAATTAGTGAAAATATAAGCTAATTGTAAGATTTAACTAAAGACATTCAGTTCTTTCCAAAGTAGTAGCTTCCTCTACTGTACTCCCCAAATACGTGTCTCTAATGTTTTATAAGTTTCCCTTTACATTTGACGGGAAGGTAAATGGTAAACACTACAAGGTTCAGAACAGGTTGACACAAAACCAAAGCATCCAACTATGGTAGTATTTTCAAAACCCACAAACTTTAAACTTGTTCTGGTGTCACACAAACAAAGCTTAAGAGATTTTGCTCCAGATCATATTACTAAGACTGGAATTCCAAAAGTGAGAACTACATCACAATGCTTAAAAGAATTTAAAAGTGCGGATACTTTTCACTGCTCACCACTACTAAAGAAAGAATGTATTAAAATAGGCAATTGAAAGACTGCTCATGAGAGATCATGGCTGGAAAACTCATACTGATTTGTGTGTGACCTCAAGTCTCACATTTATTTTTGCCCCTTTAAGAACAGTCACATCTTGTCCAAGATATTTTTTCTATAAATGAATTATCTTTCCAAACAGGTCTGAATGTTCTAGAGCTATTTTGTCTAATGCAGTAACCGCTAGCCACAGAAGGCTGGGAGCGGTCGCTCACACCTATAATCCCAGCAGGCTAAGGCAGGTGGATCACTTGAGCCCAGGAGTTGGAGACCAGCCTGGGCAACACAGTGAAACTCCATTTCTACAAAAAATACAAAAATTAGGCTGGTGTGGTGGTACATGCCTGTAGTCCCAGCTACTTGGGAGGCTGAGGTGGAAGGATAACTTGAGTCCAGGAGGTAGAGGTTGCGGTGAGCTGAGATCATGCCACTGCCCTCCAGCTTGGGCAACAGAGCAAGATCCTATCTCTAAATGAATAAATAAGAACTGTGGCTTATCTGAATTGAAATGTGCAGTAAGCATAAAACACACATAAGGATTTCAAAAGCTTGGTGTATAAAAGAAAAAGAATGTGAAATGTCTCCATAATGTTTTATATTGCTTATATTTTAAAATGGTGACATTTTGTGTACTAGATTAAATGATATACATTCTTAAAATTAATTTCATCTATTATTTTTTACTTTTTAAAATGTGGCTATTAGAAAAATTTAAATTATGTAGCTCACATTATATTTTGGGGGAGCAGCACTATTCTACTGTGTCCATTTCTATGTTATAAATAACAAATAAGGGCTATTCAAACCAAATGGGAAGCTACAATGGGATAATTGGTGATGGCTGTTTTGAAAAGTATTCTAAAAGGTAGATAGAGGGGCTAGTGTGATGAAATATTTCTATTCTGTTTCCTCCTTTGTTTTATCGTAGATTTTATATGATCACAAATGGAGATAGTATGAAAAATTTTCCAAGCCTCCATCACCCCTCACTGGGATTCCTACAATGGTCTTCCAAGGGTCTCCTTGCTGCTCTATAGTCTGTTTTTAACATAACAACCAAAGAGAGCCCTTTAAAAGATAAGATAGACTTTGTTCCTACTTTGCTTTTTAAAAACCTTCTAACAGCAATTCCACCGCCTGCAGTAAAAGCCAAAGTCATTACAATGGCTTACACGGCCCTCTTCGGTCTAGTCCCCAAGCCCTTACCCCTCTAACCTCATCTCCTACCACTTTCCCTGCATATTCTGTTGTAGCTATGCTGGCTTCCAACACACCTGGTCCTCTCTGGCCTTTGGACTTACTGTTCTGAACAGAACTTACTCATTTCAGTTTGCTCTCTCACATCCTTCAGGGTTTTGTTCAATGCTACCTGGAACTCCCATCCCTACCCACCCACCCCTGCCACTCCCTGTTCACACTCTGCCTTTCTCTATAGTCCTCATCACCATCTGGTTTTCTATATGCTTTACTTACCCCTGTTCTCCTCACTAGAAGGCAAGCTCCATTAAAGCAGGGATGTTGGTTCTTGGCCCATAAGAGGTGCTCAAAAAAATTACTGACTGAATGAACAAACTTAACTTTGCAATAGTGGGAGGAAACTCTTGGACCTAAAGTCTACCAACTGAAGCAATTCATAGGTATAGGTCTGGTGTTTCTCAGCTTGGTATAGGTTTAAAGTATCAAACTATTGATGAAGCAACCCATAGCCTGCCTCACTTAGCTATACTTACTGCATAAAATCTAAGTTCAGAATGGAGAATTAGATATCTGCCTCTGTATTGCTACTTCTCAAATATGTCCAGATCCTTCCATTTTATTGGCTAAAAAAAGCAGTGCCAAATTTCTCACAATAGTCTTCTGTTCCAGTAGGTTGAGTTATTAAAAATACACCCCCAAGAGGCCGAGATGGGTGGATCACGAGGTCAGGAGGTCTTGACTGACCTGGTTAACATGGTGAAACCCCGTCTCTACTAAAAATACAAAAAATTAGCTGGGCATAGTGGTACCCACCTGTAGTCCCAGCTACTCGGGAGGCTGATGCAGGAGAATCACTTGAACCTGGGAAGGTTGCAATGAGCAGAGGTTGCAATGAGCTGAGATTGCACCACTGCACACCAGCCTGGGCAACAGAAAGAGACTCTGCCTCAAAAAAAGAAAAATACACCACTATGGAACTCAAAAGCTACTTTTATAGGGGAAATTAAAAAAGGGAGAGCCATAAACATTTTCATTTTTCCTTAAATAATATTTATGCCAATATCATAAATATATTTATGATTACTCATGCTATTATGATTAATACTATATTAAACATGGCTTCGAGGGACTGCTGTGTGCCATTCCCCTCAGTGTGAAAGTTCTGATTCTGTCACTGACCGACCTTCAGTGCCAGATCAGATTTTTCCCTGTATCCCTTATGATCTCAGGAGAAATACTGTCTTTTGTTACTGGATTCTAAGTAACCCTGAATTTGCTTTTAATTGAAAGGAAGCAAACTTCCCTGCCCTTGGAACACCCTTGGCTTTCAGCAAGAGCTCCTATTTTCCCCTTGACCATGGCTGGAGGATGCAATGGCCTTGGCTCTACTTTCTTAGATTCTCTTCCCTTCTCTATTTCTCCTGTCTTAGACTATCCTAAGACGCTGACCATGCATTTCACTGCTCTAAATTCGCCAACCCAGATACTGCATTCTCTTCAATTCTATCTCCTTGTGTTTTCTAAATAAGCTCCTTTACAGTCATTTCAACTCCAACCTCATGCTTTATCAGTAATCCCAGCACTTTGGGAGGCCGAGGCTGGTAGATCACCTGAGGTCAGGAGTTCAAGACCAGCTTGGCTAACATGGTGAAACCCCCTCTCTACTAAAAATACAAAAAAAATTAGCCAGGCACAGTGGCATGCACCTGTAATCCCAGCTACTCGGGAGGCTAAGGCAGGAAAATCACTTGAACCCAGGAGGCGGAGGTTGCAGTAAACCGTGATTGCGCCACTGCACTCCAGTCTGGGAGACAGAGTGAGTCTCCGTCTCAAAAATAACAAAGAAGAATTTAGCCAAAGGTCCTTTATTTCTGGTTACTTTTTATACCTCCATTTATTATAGCCCGTTTACAGATGGAAGGCATTGGCTTCTCTGCCATACAACTCTCTTGAGGCAGAGTTACTGCTGCTCACTCTTTCCTCCTCTCTTAGAGTTCTCTGTTCCAGCTTCTGTTATACAGTTGATGGAGACTGTCTGTTTAACACCCTGCCTCCTTCACCAGATGAAAATGTCCTCCAGGGCACAGGTTGCAGCCTTTCATGTCTGTGACAGCACACAGCATAGGGCCTGGCACTTGGCATGTGTTCATAAAGTTGTGACTGACTGAACAAGTTGTATTTTCAAATGTGTTGGATCCCTCATTCACATTTCCATAGACATCTCCAGCTCTCCACACTCAAGTATGATCTCTAAATTCCCTCCATAGCTTGTGATGTCCTTGAGAGTGTCTTTATTTATTTTTGTGTTTATGTTTTAAATAAAATTCACTCTGTCACCCAGGCTGGAGTGCAGTGGCACAATCTCAGCTCATGCAGCCTCCATCTCCCCAGTAGTTGGGATTACAGGCACATGCCACTATGCCGGGCTATTTTTGTATTTTTAGTAGAGACAGGTCTTCACCATGTTGGCCAGGCTGGTCTTGAATTCCTGACCACCTGCCTTGACCTCCCAAAGTGCTAGGATTACAGGCGTGAACCACCATGTCCAGCGAAAGTGTCTTTTATCCCTGTGTCATGTGAATGAATGATTGCACTTACAATTATATTAGGGAAGAGCATCTGAGTATGGAATCTTTTAAGTGCAACCTTCTAAGTGGACTGATATATATGGTGCAGCTTGGGAGGGACTAAAAAGGATCCTCTTCCAAAATCTCTCCCTATTCCTCTAGCTAGCCTATCCAGTTGTCTAGAATTCTGTCATCAGAGTTTGACTCTTTTGGGTTAATGGATTGTTCTATCTCAACACACACAACTGTGTTAATCATTAATAAAGTCAGTTAGGAGTATTAGTGTAATAGATCCTTCCCAAATGAAAATGAGCTGAGAACAGGATCTGATAAGAAGGGATAAGAGACAGGAACGTGTGGGGACATGGATCCAGAGTACTGGCACTGGTTGGGGAAGCACCGTGACTAGTCAGGTAGAAAGATGCTAAGAGCCAGAGGCTTTTTTTTTTTTTTCTGTTTTTTGGTTTTACTAGGTTAGGCTTTTAAAATATAGGCAGGAAACAAACTGTTAATGAGAAGCCTAAAAACTATCGACTTCTAGGTTGGCAAGCCCCAAACCTAATCTTCTGTCAACTAGCTGCTTTTATCTAGACAACTAGACCGTCTGAAAGTCAAAAAGGACCTCAGAGATGATTTTACACCCCACTCCCATCACTTTTAAAGATGAAGACATTCAAGCCCAATGGGGTTAATTTATCTTGCTCAGGGTCTCACAACAAGTCCAGACTAGATCCTGGACTCCCCGTTCACCTTTCCAGGAAGAACAAGTAATTATGCTCATTATAATCACCACACAGCTTCCTCTAGAGAAATGTCACTCACTGATTTTCAGAAGCTGAAATAGGTTTTCCATTCAATTAACCACAAACAAGCTCTTACATATATACTTATTAAAGGAAACTCAGAGAAATCAAGTTGTATAAATTGCAGTTAAAGAACATAAAAAACCACAACCTTGCCAAATATACCACAAATTAAACTAAAGAATATTTTAGTGCTTCTATGATTGATCAGGGTATGTCATTTCAAATACTGCACTTTCTCACTGACATCTGTACCACGCAGCTCCGGGTTCCAGGGACGTTTTTGTGCTTACCTTCTTCTCCCACATGTGTAGAAGCTTTTGGGCCTCTTGTGCAATGAGGAAACGCCAGGGTAACTGTGGGCAGTTGGCTGAGTAGAACCAGAAGTGTAAACATAGTCTGGCAACTGTCAAACAAACTAAAACAAACAAAAAACATAGTTTAAAAAAAAAAAAAAAAAGCCCCTGGCTCAGCACTCTAAGTTTCTGTCGAACTGAATCACCAACCTGTTGCACTCCAAGCCTCGAAGCGAGAGCGCACAGCGCGTGGTTTCGGTCGCCGGGACTCCAGGCACGCCCAGAAAGCAGCCCCCGAGAGCGCCTGGGACAAATGCCGCGCCCCGGGACCCTGCCGAGGGCTGATCCGGGACCTGTCGCTGCGGGCAACCCTCAGCTATGTGTTCGAATCCAACGCAGTCCGCCGAGGTGGCCTCCACCGATGTGCCCCCCTTCCCAGTAGCTCCCTCCCCGCCGAGTCCCCCCTCCAGGCCCCGCACCTGTGTCCCCCCGCACATGTTCCAGCAGCCCCCGGGCCAGAGTCTTGTCTTGGGGTGGTTCCTTCGGCCGTCAGGCCCTCGGTCTCCGGCGCCCTCAAACCTCTGCGACGCTCCGGGCCTCGTTCTCCCCAGGGTCTGGGTGGTCCCTGTGCTCAAACCGGCTACGCGTCTGGGGTCCGCAGAAGGGCGCCTGGGGAACACGCGCTGCGCGAGGTCCTGCCTCGGTACTGGGAGGCGGCCGACGGAGGAAGGGAGGAGACGGCTACCTGGGGACACCTGGCCGCGCCCCTCCTCCCGGGGGCCGGCCTACCTGCGGCCAGCGGGCGGGCAGTAGGCCGGCGTCTCCTTGGAGTCCGCGCTGCGCTCTCAGCCGCCTCAGCTTCTGTCCCAGCCCCGGGCTGGCCAGGCCGTCAGCCGCCAGTTCTGGCCCCGCCTTGGCGGCGCGGGTGGCTGCTTTTCGATTTGTGCCTGCACCCGGCGTTCTCAATGCTCCTAATCCAGGGAGCGTTTCGGTTCTCAGTCCTAAGCAGAGCGCCCTCGGTGCGTCCAGGGCTTTTCGCTATGGGTCTCGCTAGGCCATGGGTCCTGCGGTTACCTTAGATCAACTGTTTTCAAAAGAGTGGTCCAGGAACAAGGACAAGATATTCATCAGACAAAATACCCTTTATTCGTGATAAGAGATGGAAATGGCCTTAAATTTAATTATTTCATTGGTTCTCCAATGGTGGTCTGCCAGGTCTGGATGTCTCCAAGATCTTTTCCAGGGGTCTCTCAGGTCAAAACTATTTCCATTATGGTAACAATACATGATTTGCCATTTTCACTTTCATTCTCTCAAGTGTACAGTGGAAATTTCCAGGGGCTATTTTACATGTAATAGTCATCACTCTGTCTGCTAACAGAATACCTGCGTGTGCGTGCTTGTATTTTCTAGGATTTTCCATGGTAGTATGTTTAAAGTATCAGTATGTACATCTTATAGAGATTTATATAGATTTATAGAGATTAATAAAATTTGTTCTCTACTTCTGAATGTAATGTTTTTTTTTCTTTTCTTTTTTCTTTTTCAGAGTAGGGGTTTCACTTTGTTGCCTAGGCTGGCTTCTTGAACTCCTGGGCTCAAGAGATCCTCCAGTCTCATCCTCCAGAGTAGCTGGGACTAAAGGTGTCCACCATCTCTCTTGGCTACTGCTTTTGTATTTTGATTAGTTTTCTTTGTTCATATCTACTAGGATAGCTATAACCTCATTATTCTCAAATAATTATCTTGAAATCTTGATCTTTTCCTTGAGTCAATGCATAAACATAATAAAAAGTATGCTTTGTTGTCTTGATTTCAAAAATATTTTGAAAATTTCTCAGTTTCAATGTTAGATAATAAATATCATTAGAAGCAATTCACATAAGTGAAAACTCTGGCATCCTTGATAACGTAGGTGTGTAAAAAGGTCTTGATCAAAGACTTCAAGAACTGCTGCATCAAGTAATGAAGGCAGCAGGTGGACAGAGGACCGGTGCCAGGTGATGGTCACATCCTTCTTTATCTGAAGAACATGCTTAACAATTATTTGAAACACTATTTATGCTTTGGTCAAAGTGGCCTGGCAGTTGCTCGGGGCCAAGGGAAACTTTTTCCCCCCTTCAATTTTTTTTTCCCCTTGAGACGGAGTCTCACTCTGTCACCCAGGCTGGAGTGCAGTGGTGCAATCTTGGCTCACTACAACCTCCGCTTCAACTGATTCTCCCTCAGCCTCCCGAGTAGCTAGGATTATAGGCATCCACTACCACGCCTGGCTGAATTTTTCTACATTTAGTAGAGACGGGGTTTCACCACATTGGCCAGGCTGTTCACAAACTTCTGACCTCAGGTGATCTGCCCACCTCGGCCTCCCAAAGTGCTGGGATTATAGGTATGAGCCACCGCACTTGGCCTCAAATTTCTGATTAATTCAGTTTTTACCAAATTCTGTTTTTCTCCTCCCAAAGGATATTGTCTATTTTAGACAATATTTTATTATGTTAATATATTTGATTATATTTTATTATGATTATTGATAATCAACGGAATTCTTCTTAAGTTTTCTGCAGAAATTTTGTTTTCACCAATTCCTTCTAGGCAGTGCTTTTCCTTTCCCTTCTTCCAATCCCTTCCTCTTCACTCTCCATTTGTCTACTTCATGGTCTAAACTGTTTCTATGATGGAGTCTTCTCTCCCTCTTATTCAAGCAATTGGAATCAGACAATGAAGGGGCCCAGACATGGTTTATTGTGGTTGAACGTGAGAATAGGAAACATCTTCACTAGAACACCCATTTTCCTGTTTATTCCTTGAGTCAACCTACAGCACTGAGCCCTCCTGGTAGGGAGATGGATACCATGTGTCCTGGAGGAGAATTTAATCTGGCTGAGACCTAGATCTGAGAATGTGGGCCTGTGACATTCTTATCAAGTGCAAGAACTGACTTACTCATTTTTTCATCCTCCACAGTACCAGGGGAGTGCTTTCTACATTGTTCATGTTCAATACATTTTCATTGAGTGGAAGCAATTTATTTTCAGGTAGGAAAAGTACTTCATTTCCCACTACTTTGGGGAGAGGGCAATGGTCAAATGCCTCATGCCATGCAATCAGCAGTTGTGAACTTTGATGACATTCCTTGGTAGAATGAGTCCACCCACATATCTGGATATTTGGACCAAAACAAATGAGGCTTTGTGCTTGCATCAAAAATCAGAGTTTATAGACAGAGAGGGAGGCAGACAGAGAAATTGAAGTCTGTTTCTCAGTAGTGAATTACACCCTGTATGTTTTCCTGTAACATTGAGTCCTAGAGAATGTTACAGCATTTGGCAGCATGCACACTAACTTAGTCACTATGGAGCTGCAAGGTATTTTGAGGTTAGATGGCAAAGAGAGAAAAGAGAAAAGCCAGTAACAACAGTGCCCAAGATAGCTGATTTCTTCTATTACTTACTTGGTGTATTCATTTTATTCTGTGCCTTCTGCTATTTAAAGTTATAATATTCTTGACTAGGTGCGGTGGCTCACGCCTATAATCCCAGCACTTTGGGAGGCCGAGGTGGGCAGATCACAAGGTCAGGAGTTTGAGGCCAGCCTGCCCAACATAGTGAAACCCCATCTCTGATAAAAGTACAAAAAAAATTAGCTGGACATGGTGGCGGGCACCTGTAATTCCAGCTACTAGGGAGGCTGAGGCAGGAGAATCACTTGAACGATTCTCAAGTTGAACCTCAACCTCACTGCAGAGGTTGCAGTGAGCCGAGATCCTGCCAATGCACTCCAGCCTGGTGACAAGAGTGAAACTCTGTCTCAAAAATAATAGTAATAATAATAAAGTTATAATATTCTTATGCCTTTCTTCCAAAGCATTTTAAGTGTTCTCACAGATAGTGTTTTTCTTATTCTGGCTATCTGTGGAGTTGGGCTAGATATTATAATTCTCATTTTACAAAGAGGGATACTGAAGCATGAAGTAAATGATAATCATTGGCCGAGTAGTAGCCTGGTTCTTGACTCCAGTGCTTTTTTTTTTTTTTTTTTTTGAGTTATTATCAAGCAATAAAGGCAGTAAGTAAAAAATTACTTGGTTTCAGAGGAAATAAGAAAAAAATCAGAGCAATGAGATTAATGGACTTGGATTAATGTGATAATGCATCTCTGAATTTGAGCACATACCCACCCACTTACCTGTGTGAATTCAAGAATGAAATGAAAACTCACTTTACTGTGTGGGCATGAGGATGGACTCAAGGACTGTGACAGGAAATGTTAAGGTTGCAGTCATGAAGCTCTGTAAGTAAAGTCACATCCACATCCTTAAAGACACATTGACGACTATCATTAGCCTGTTCAGAATAGGAGATGCAACTTTATTGAACTTGCTGTTTCCGTGACATTTTAGCCTTGACATTTCAACATCAATTGCTCGCTGTTTTAATTTATCCCAGTATAGTCAGCAAGTGAGAAATGAAAGACTCCTACTGTTCCAGGTTGATTGTATATCTGCACGCAGTTATTTTCAGATTCAACAAATCGGTAAAGGGGTTAAGGATTTTATTTTAAACATTTGCTTAAAGCCCTTTAAGTACACCTTTGAGCAGAACTTTTATTTATTTTAATTCTACCATTTAAGAACAATGGTTGTTAATAACAAAACAATTAAATAAAAGAACAGTCTGATTTCATGTCACACTGTGAGTAGGAATAATACCTACATGTCATGCTTAAAATATAGTAATCTTTATAGCTCTTAGAGTGCATAGGAACTTGAATCCGTGTGGCTTGGAGCTGCCCCCAGGGATCTGTGACAGGGACTTGTGTAAGAGCTGGCCTCAGAACTGTCACTCTGTGTATGGATGTTGGCATTTTTATACCAATTATTCACTTATCAGCCTTATTTTCTCATCAGAGTCTTACTTTCTGATTGCTACACAATTGTTGGCCTCTTTTTTTGTAAAGTCATATTCAGGTAATCATGATATTCTACGCAAACTTTTTTTTCATACACATGATTACTTGGCATCAATTGTAAAACCATACTTTCCATATACAACATGTGAATAAGGAGTTTAAACAAATCATGCATTACTAGTTATGCAATTAACAGCATTTAAGAATCATTTGTTGACAGGCATGGTGGCTCATGCCTGTAATCCCAGCACTTTGTGAGGCTGAGGCGGGCGGATTACCTGAGGTTAGGAGTTCGAGAGCAGCCTGGCCAACATGGTGAAACCCTGTCTCTACTAACAAAAATTAGCTGGGTGTGGTGGTGCACGCCTGTATTCCCAGCTACTCAGGAGGCTGAGGCAGGAGAATCACTACAACCCAAGAGGTGGAAGTTGCAGTGAGCTGAAATCACACCACTGCACTCCAGCCTGGTTGACAGAATGAGACTCCATTTCAAAACAAAAAAAGAATTATTTGTTAATGCTGAATCAGGGAAAGACAATAATGAAGTGTTAATGTTGCCGGTACTGATTGAAAGACATGCATTAAATGGAAGTTCTATTAGGAAAGCTATCAAACAGAATCTGTTTATCCTCACTTGGTGAAGGATTTTCCTTTGTTATTTTATGTACTGCCCAGGCTTGACACTCTTGAATGAAATATAAACTGAGGGTTTTGTTTTTTTGGAGACAGGGTCTAACTCTATCACCCAGGCTGGAGTGCAGTGGCAGGATCACGGCTCACTGCAGCCTCAACCTCCTGGACTCAAATGATCCTCCTGCCTCAGACTCCAGAGTAGCTGGGACCTCAGGCACATACCACCACACCTGGCTAATTTTTGTATTTTTTGTAGAGACAGGGGTTTTACCATGTTGCCTAGGCTGGTCTGAAATTCCTGGGTTCAAGTGATCTGCCTGCCTTGGCCTCCC